CCCCCAGCCTCTGTCCTGAGCCCCCTACCCCTGCCCTGACTCCTGCACCCCCACACCCTGAACCCCCCACCACACACAACCCCCTGCTCTGAGCTCACCATCCCTCACACCTCCCAGCCCCTACATTGAGTCCAGCATCCCCATTCCCTCCCCTGAGACCTCCCATACCCTATGCCCCAACTCCTGCACCGTGTATTACCTGCTCTGAGCCCCCAATCACTTCCCTGTCTCCTGTGCCCCCAACAACTGCACTGAGCACCCCGCCCCTTGCCCTCTGCCCCCCAAACTCCCCACCCCCTGCCCTATAAAAATCAGCATTTATCTAAAGCGTATACAATTTTCTTTTATTTTAAAACCTGATCATAGTTCAGGACCGGAGCAATGTTGGGTCATGTGCAAGTATTTTTACAGAGCTTTTACATCAAACTCTTTACCCATTCCTCTGGTTTCTACTGGATTCTCCCCAGTCTCTGAGTAACAGGAAAAGTTGGAGTGAGAACACGCCATTCAATCACAGGCCGTGCGGACGAGATTCGGAAGGAGGTTTAGGTGAGGCGCTAGCGAAGAATGGAAAAGGCCGAAGTGGTGGAGGACAAAGTTTGGGTGGAGCATGTTTCATCATCCCTCAAGCTGGCTGAGATATTGATTTTTCCGGGGCAATTGGGTGGTTTTGCGAAAGTGTGGACTTTCCTCGAAAACAGGGTCATATTTTGGAGTCAGGAACTCCAAAAATGCTTGGCAAAAAATGAAATATGTCTCCATTTTCAGGTAATAGAATTGTATTTGTTGGAGCAGCCTTTTGCCAATCATTTTTCTTTCAGTCGTTGGCATGTTTTTTGCAATTTTTTTTACTGTTTTTGGTCATTTTCTGCCTAATTTTCTGCAGTACCAGCATGTTTTGGACCTTTTTTTTTTGTTTTGTTTTTTTCAATAGAAAGTCCACATTTTCCATAAGGAAATCAAACACTTTTTCTCATCAGCTGTATTAACGATACTAGGAAGGAAGGAATTTTAATTAAGCTATCCTTGTGCTCAGCAAGATTTGGGTCAAGCTTGGAGACGGGAGGAAAATCAGCTGGGGAAACAGCTGGGATCAGGTGGATGAAAGGTTAGGCAGGGAAAGATCGGAACGGGAAATACTACGACGAAGAAGTTGAGCTCCATGCATTCAGAATAGCAACATGGTGTCAACTTCCTCCTGAATACTTAGAGGACTGGAGGCAACGGGATGTGGTCGGGCGGGATGTCCTCTTTGGTGAACTGCATGTCTCTACAGAACAAGACGGGCTTCTGGCCAATGCCGAGGTGGTACTGCCAGATGTAGAGGCTTTTTTGGGGATCCAGGGACACTTGGATTGACTCCTCCTCATCCTGGGCTTCGTTCCAGTCCTCCTGCTCCGTGCGGACGCTTCTCCCGCCGTACTCCGTGTTGAGGGAGAACTGGAGTTGAGTGATGAGTTTGGTGAGATCTCCTATCCCCAGGGACATATCTGCTGAGATGCTCCAGCTGTACTCAATACTGGACATCTGCTGCTTGGTGTAGCCCACCTTGCGGACGACCTTGTCAGACCAGGTGATGGTGGAGTCGGACGTATTGTGGAGAGTTTTGATGCACTCCCAGCCAGCGGTCGAGGACCCCTGGGTGCAGGCCAGGCCCCCGGGGAAGAAGTTCAGCACGTTAGGGTGGATGGAGAAGTAGGAATCCAGGAATTGAAATCTCTCATCCCCATACAGGAAGAATTGCACCCCCCACTTCTCATCCAACTTGATGATGGTGAGGTATTGATCAATCCCGAAATAGTAGAGCCCCGTGCGGTATTCCGGAGGCAGGACAAGGTCGGTTTCACCTCCAGCTGTGCTCAAATCGTCCACTCTGCGGATGACACCCCGGCCTTGGAAAATGATGAAGAAAGCCCAACGAAGCCTCCCGTAGTGGTCCCCTCCACGGCACCTGGGATGCAGCTGAAAGATCTGAGCTCCCCTATCTGTGCTCAGGTCTTGTACCACCCGGTAGGAGTCACCCTTGAGGATGTAAATATCGGGGTTCTCCCTGCTGGCCACGTAGTGGTCCCCACCCTGGCAGGCGGGGTGCAGTCTGCGGATCTTAATGTTGCTCCCTTTCTCCAGGAAATCAGGTGTCTGCAGGTAGCAGCCCAGGTCGGAGCGGATGACGCAATCCCCGCTGTCATTGCGGAAGATGTCTGTCCCACGGGAGTCCTGCCGAGGGACCTGGGGCGGGGACAAAACGGGGTGGGGGAAGAGAGGGGAGCAGATGAATAAAGGACGTATGGGAGCTAGAGAAGACCATGGTGGGCCTGAGAGACGTCAGGGGACTTCTCCGTTTCGATCAATGGAAACATTTCTCAATGACATCCGGGCAACAATGAGACCTCTTGCATCACAATGGAGCTACAGCCAATAGAGAACACTGTTGGGGGAGGGCATTGACACCCATGGAGCTGTGGCCCATTCACACCCAAGCTGGCGCCTGGCTCGCTGACACCAACAGAGCTATGGGCCATTCACACCTCAACAGGGAGCTGGCCCATTGGCACAAACGGAGCCACAGACATTTGACATGAGCTCCTCTGATCTTACGGGAATCTCTGATGCTTGAAGAGTCCCCTGGCTCCAACCGTGCCCCCACACCGGGGATAATATGCAGTGAGGTCTCCTGGCTGCGCCTGGGGCTTTCAGCTGCATCTCCATGAGCAGACGTTTCCATGAGCAGACGTTTCCTTGAGATAGGGAGGGGAAGGAGGGGAGAGCAACACCCCAGATCCTGCCTTGGGGGGGGGGTCTGACTTCCCACGGGAGCCCACTTACCACCATTGATCTCCTTGACTGGGCCATGCCTCCTCCGCCGTCTGACCTGGCACCTGCAAACTGCTGTCCTGTGTGTGGATGAAGAGGGGAGGAAAGATGAACTGGATCCCGAGCAATGTTCTACGTTTTCATTGGTGGTGTGGGGGATAGATAGATAGATAGATAGATAGAGGGGTGTATGGGGATAGATAGATAGAAGGGGTGTGTGGGGGATAGATAGATAGAAGGGGTGTGTGGGGGATAGATAGATAGATAGATAGAGGGGGTGTGTGGGGGATAGATAGATAGATAGATAGATAGATAGAGGGGGTGTGTGGGGGATAGATAGATAGATAGATAGATAGATAGAGGGGGTGTGTGGGGGATAGATAGATAGATAGATAGATAGATAGAGGGGGTGTGTGGGGGATAGATAGATAGATAGATAGATAGATAGAGGGGGTGTGTGGGGGATAGATAGATAGATAGATAGATAGATAGAGGGGGTGTGTGGGGGATAGATAGATAGATAGATAGATAGATAGAGGGGGTGTGTGGGGGATAGATAGATAGATAGATAGATAGATAGAGGGGGTGTGTGGGGGATAGATAGATAGATAGATAGATAGATAGAGGGGGTGTGTGGGGGATAGATAGATAGATAGATAGATAGATAGAGGGGGTGTGTGGGGGATAGATAGATAGATAGATAGATAGATAGAGGGGGTGTGTGGGGGATAGATAGATAGATAGATAGATAGATAGAGGGGGTGTGTGGGGGATAGATAGATAGATAGATAGATAGATAGAGGGGGTGTGTGGGGGATAGATAGATAGATAGATAGATAGATAGAGGGGGTGTGTGGGGGATAGATAGATAGATAGATAGATAGATAGAGGGGGTGTGTGGGGGATAGATAGATAGATAGATAGATAGATAGAGGGGGTGTGTGGGGGATAGATAGATAGATAGATAGATAGATAGAGGGGGTGTGTGGGGGATAGATAGATAGATAGATAGATAGATAGAGGGGGTGTGTGGGGGATAGATAGATAGATAGATAGATAGATAGAGGGGGTGTGTGGGGGATAGATAGATAGATAGATAGATAGATAGAGGGGGTGTGTGGGGGATAGATAGATAGATAGATAGATAGATAGAGGGGGTGTGTGGGGGATAGATAGATAGATAGATAGATAGATAGAGGGGGTGTGTGGGGGATAGATAGATAGATAGATAGATAGATAGAGGGGGTGTGTGGGGGATAGATAGATAGATAGATAGATAGATAGAGGGGGTGTGTGGGGGATAGATAGATAGATAGATAGATAGATAGAGGGGGTGTGTGGGGATAGATAGATAGATAGATGGATAGATAGAATTTTAAGGTGTGTGCTAATGTTTTGATTTCAAGTCAAATTTCCAGCAGAAAACTAAACGTTTTTTCCACACTAGAACATTTTGAAGCAGCTAGATCTAGTGGAGAAGGTCGGCATTGACAACATGGGTTGGCTTTGACCCCAGGAGAATGAGGGAGTTCAGGGGAAGAGAGGGAAATCCCTCATTGTGCTCCCCCCACACCTCTCCGGAGCCCCCACTCCTGGCTTGTCGACCCCGGCTAGCCCAGCTGGCTGCTCCCAAGGTTAGATACTCACTGTTGGGAGCAGAGTGTGGTATCCTGTCTGAGGGTCTCTTGGTGGGGTGGGCGGAGCAGGGGACCTCTGTTGAGGATCCTCTACCACATGAGACGGTCACACAGAGAGCTGGTGAGACAGGGCTGGGCTGTTCATTCCTATCGTTTTCCCCGACCGATGTCTGTCTGTGCAGCCAGTGAAGTTGAGGGTCCTGGTAGGTAGAGTATAAGGCAGTTCAGCAGTCCTATAATCTAAACAAGTTGGAGGGGAGCACAGAGAGATGGATTCAGAAGAACTTAAAGAGCCTTGAGAAAATTTAAGGAACAGAAGAGTTGAACACAAAGAAGCCCAAAGAAAACGCAACTCAGCTCAACAATGTGTGTATTTATAGGGTCTTGGGCAGCTAAATTCTAACCCATCCTACTATGACCTTCATTGATTTCCATACACTAAGAATGGACAGGTGCATTTCTATAGGTTAGTTAGTTATGATGCGTGCTACTGCATATTCATTAGCATGATCTCATACACGATTCCAGTAACGTTTTTGCTTTGCTTTCTCTTTTGCAGGTACTGACTAATTCTGGTGTCTAGCAGAGTAAGTCAAAATAACGGGTTCCTTAATTTGGTTCCCAAAAGTAAGGGACATCTGCGCTGAACAAGCATTATATATGGGCCAGAAGTTGGTTATGCAAGTCCCTGCAATATGCTTTCGCTGCTCATATAGAATATGATGGGTCTGAAAAAGGGAATAAGGAAAGGTTATGTCCTCATGCCCACAATATAAGAACAAGGGGTCACCCAATGAAATGAAAAGGCAGCAGGTTTAAAATGAGCCAAAGGAAGGTTTTCTTCACACAGCGCACAGTCAACCTGTGGAACTCCTAGCCACAGGAAGTGGTGAAGGCTAGGACTTTAACAGGGTTCAAGAAAGAGCTAGCTAGATTCCTGGAGGTTGGGTCCATCAATGGCTATTAGCCAGGGTGTCCCTAGCCTTTGTTTCTCTGGAAATGGGTGACAGGAGAGGGATCCCTGTTGTGATCCCTCCCTCTGGGGCATCTGGCATTGGCCACTGTTGGCAGACAGGACATTGGGCTGGATGGACCGTTGGTTTGATCCAGTCTGGAAGTTCTTCTGTTCTTAATATAAGAACGTAACATAAGAACGGTCAGACTGGGTCAAACCAAAGGTCCATCCAGCCCAGTATCCTGTCTGCTGACAGTGGCCAGCACCAGGTGCCCCAGAGGGAGTGAACCGAACAGGGAATCATCAAGTGATCCCTCCCCTGTTATCCATTTCCAGACACACAGAGTCTAGGGACACTATTCCTACCCAGCCTGGTTCATAAGTATTGATGGACCTATCCTCCGGGAATTTATTTAGCTCTTTTTTTTAACCCTGCTAAAGTCCTGGTCTTCACAACATCCTCTGGCAAGGAGTTCCACAGATTGACTGTACAATGCATGATCAAAAACTTCCTTGTGTTTGCTTTTAAACCTGCAAGCTATTCATTTCTTTGGGTGACCCTTAGTTCTTATGTTCTGGGAACAAATAAATAAGTTTTCCTTAGTCACTTTCTCCATATCGTATCGGATTCAGATCTGTAGATTTCTTGCATTCCAGCTATATGCAATTAATACCTTTAACTTAACATCTACTAGAGCATTTTTTTCCTTCCTCCCTCTCCCTTTTCCCCATTTTATTTTGGGTCTGCACATCCTAAACTCCAGTCATCTGAGGAAGTGGGCTGTGCCCACGAAAGCTCACGATATCATCTCCATGTTTTGTTGGTCTATAAAGTGCTACCAGACCATTGCTGTTTTTTAAGTTTAGGGTACAGACTAACTTGGCTACCCCCTGACACTTCTAAATATAATGAATACCAGAATGGGTATAATACAGGTTGAACTTCTCTAGTCCAGCACTTTCTGCTCCGGAAACATCCGTCGTCTGGAATTATTTTAGTTACTCAGATGTCCACGTGTCATGGATGTGGCCAAGTTTCCTGCAGCCCCGTAAAGTTTGTTTATAGCCACCAGGCCTGGCGCTCAGTGGTGTGTGCTGTGATTTAGCTCTATTTTACCCCTCAATGTCTGCTAAGAGCCCAGTAGGTCGTGGAAGTGTTGGTCAAGCTTCTAGACCATATTGACCTCCTGCAGTCCAGAATATTTTCTGGTTCGGAACCGGTCAGGTCCCGAGGATGTCCAACTAGAGAGGTTCCACCTGCGCTAAGTTAATATAAATCAGCCTATGATTCAGGACGGAAGAGCTGAAATATTATGTGTAGGGGGGGAGGGTGTTGTACCGAGCTGTGTGTTGGTACCGAGTGGTAGACCTCTAACAAGGGCCCATCCTGGTACCCTCTGTAGAGTGTCTCTCTGAGCCCAGCCTCTCAGTCGGTTTCCCCTCTGTCTCATTCTCCGCTCAGTAGGAGAACAGTGTCTCCAGGCCTTCTCCTGGAGACTGTGCCCTCAAGGGCACCCCGCTCTGAGCTGTCCCCAGATCTGCCAGCCCCCCCTTCTAACCTTCTTCCTTCAGATCTGGGCTGCAACTCAGTTGCCTCTGATGCTGCAGCTTCTCTTAGGGTGTGTCTAGACTACAGGGTTTTGTCGGCAAAAGTGGACTTTTGTTGACAAAACTAAACCTGCGACTACACTACCGCTGAGTTCTCTCGACAAAGCGTCGCCAGAACTCAGCAGTTTGGTCGACGCTGGTAAACCTCATTTTACGCGGCATAACGGCTTTTGTTGATAGAGTTCTGTCGACAGAAGACGTTATTGCATCTAAACTGTCCTTTGCGTCTACACTGCCATGTCGACAGAGCGGCTTGCTTTGTCGACAGAACTGGATGTAGTCTAGACGCTCTTTGTCGACAGAAGCTTTGTCGACAGTATCTGTCGATAAAACTTCTGTCGACAAAAGCCTGTCGTCTAGACTTACCCTTATAGTCCTCCCCATCTCCTGATTGGCGGGTTACTTCAGGACCTCTCTAGCTTCCTGGAGGACTTCTCTATGGCCCATTACACTGTTTCACTAGGCGGGTGGGGAAGCACTGGGATGGGTTCCCTGAGGAGGGGGTGGAATCTCCATCCCTAGAGGTGTTTAAGTCTTGGCTTGACCAAGCCCTGGCCAGGTTGATTTAGTTGGGATTGGTCCTGCCTTGGGCAGGGGGCTGGACTTGATGACCTTCTGAGGTCTCTTCCAGCTCTATGGTTCTATGACCTAGCACCTCAATGGGCCGAGTATTTCTGTAATATCAGTCCTCTTCTTGCCAACTTGTGTGAGCAGGGCCTGCCTCTCACACTCAGCTTCACTCTGCTTTCTGTTAGGAAGGTCTTGGCCACTGCTGTCTAGGCCTCCAGCCTCACACCCAGCCTGGGCTTATGTTTCAGGCTCTCGTCTCGCTACAATGGAGTCCCTGTCCTGACTACCTCTGCATCCGGCGCCGCAGGAGGTCACGGCAGGACTCGGTGGAATTGCTGATGTAAGGGGTAAGGATCTGGGGAGCTCCTGGACTCACCGTTCCCATCCCCTTTGTGGCCTGTGGCTTTTGTGTGAGCTCTTCCCACCCCGTGAGAACCGTCTTCCAGCTTCCTTGCTGAGCTTTCAGGGACAGGCCAGTTTCTGCTGTCGTCAGGGACTTTGCTGGCCTCTTCTCACACACTGGTGTGAAACAAGTGCAGGAGGGGGCCTAATTCATATTGCCAGCAGGCTGGAAGTCATAGAATCCTAGAACACTTGAACAGGAAGGGATCTCGAGAGGCCACCCAGTTCCGTCCCCGCCTCCCGCGGCAGGATGATGCACCATCTAGATCATCCCTGCATGAGCAAACATGAGCCTCACAAGAAACACAGTCATGTCCTTGTTGCCAGGTGGCAGGGTGCGGGTCACATGGGCTCAGACCCAGACTGCTGAGTCATAGAATAATAGGGGCATAGAATCCTAGGGCTGGAGGAGACCTCAGGAGTCATCGAGTCCAGCCCCCTGCCCAAAGCAGGACCAACCCCAACTCGATCATCCCAGCCAGGGCTTGGTCAAGCTGGGACTTCAACACCTCTAGGGATGGAGATTCCACCACCTCCCTAGGGGACCCAGCCCAGCGCTTCCCCACCTGCCTAGGGAAATCGTCTTTCCTAATCTCCAATTTAGACCTCCCCCGCTGCAACATGAGCCCATTGCTCCTTGTTCTGCCATCTGCCCCCACTGAGAACAGCCTCTCTCCAGCCTCTTTGGAAACCCCCTTCAGGAAGTTGCAGGCTGCTCTCAAATCCCCCCTTGAGCTTCACTTCTGCAGACTGAACAAGCCCAAATCCCTCAGCTTCTCCTAGTAGCTCATGTGCTCCACCTCCCGAATCATTTTGGTTGTCCTCCCCTGTACTCTTTCCAATGTGTCCACATTCTTTCTGTAACAGGGAGCCCAGAATTGGACGCAATACTCCAGATGTGGCTTCCCCAGTGCTGAATAAAGGGGAACAATCACTTCCCTAGATTTGCTGGCAATGCTCCTCCTAATGCCCCTAATATGCCATTAGCCTTCTTGGCTACAAGGGCGCCCTGTTGACTCATCTCCAGCTTCCCATCCAGTGTAATCCCCAGGTCTTCTTCTGCAGAATGGCTACTTAGCCCGTCGCTCCCCAGCCTGTAACAATGCTTGGGATTCTTCTGTCCCAAGGGCAGGACTCTGCCCTTGTCCTTGTTGAACCTCATCCCATTTCTTTTGGCCCAGTCCTCCAATTTGTCTAGGAGTCGTCAGTAGCTGAGTGCTGATGTGTGCGCATTCTCCGAGGTTCAAGAGTGAGATTAAAAGTATATATGAGAGGTGACAGCTCCTTTCTAGGTGAAAAGTGGGAGAAATTATTCTGTTAGCTGATCATAAAGTGCATGGAGACTTGTATAATACATTGGACCAATTAATGACTTTCAAAAAGGCACATAATCTGATTTTTTTAGGACAGCGATTAGATAAGGCCACTCGACCCAATCAAAAGTTTTCTCTGTATGTAGAGACACATCTGATTTCAGAGTTTTCGGGATCAAGGGATGGATTTTTCTGATATCATCGAGCAGTCAATCTCCCTTTAATGACTCCATCTTAATCTGTGTACAGTCAATGAGCTTGGGAAGTGAGGGTTAGCTTGGTGGTTTGAGCATTGGCCTGCTAAATCCAGGGTTAGAATCATAGAATCATAGGACTGGAAGGGGTCCAGCCCCCCGCCCTTAAGGCAGGACCAAGCTCTGTCTACACCATCCCTGACAGATGTCTGTCTAACCTGTTCTTAAATATCTCCAGAGAGGGAGATTCCACCACCTCCCTTGGCAATTTATTCCAATATTTGACCACTCTGACAGTTAGGAATTTTTTCCTAATGTCCAATCTAAACCTCCCTTGCTGCACTTTAAGCCCATTACTCCTTGTCCTGTCCTCAGAAACCAAGAGGAACACATTTTCTCCTTCCTCCTTGTGACACCCTTTTAGATATTTGAAAACCGCTATCATGTCCCCCCTTAATCTTCTTTTTTCCAAACTAAACAAGCCCAGTTCATGAAGCCTGGCTTCATAGGTCATGTTCTCTAAACCTTTAATCATTCTTGTCGCTCTTCTCTGTACCCTTTCCAATTTCTATTCGAGGGAAGGGTTTTGGATCAGACTACCGTGTCTACACGTGGCAAGTTAAATTGGGCGACTGGCATTTTAAAATGGTGACTGGCTGCAAATATGTTAATGAAGTACGGGATAGTTAAATCCTGCGCTTCATTAGCAACTTTAGTATGCTTCATTTGCCTCCCTAGTTTGGACTAGGGGGCAAGTGCAGATTTACCCTAACAGAATAACTCAGCTACCCCCCCTAAGCTCCTCCTTCTGAAGTGAACATGAAAACTGTATGTAGTCCCCTTACTAGATGTGCCTCTGTTTATTCTCTGGGAAGATCTTGTGTCCTGCAATCTAGCCCCAAAGACTACAATTCCCATGAGCCCTTGAGGAAACCAGGAAGGAAGTGTTTCTTTGTTTGGGGTCTGGGTCTCTCCATGTGTGTGGAGGGTGGCTCAGCAGTCTGTGGACTCTTCCCTTTGTTTTTGGGAAAAAAAGGAGCCAGGCTGCTATGAAGGAGTTGTATACGACCCTAACAGAATAACTCAGCTACCCCCCCTAAGCTCCTCCTTCTGAAGTGAACATGAAAACTGTATGTAGTCCCCTTACTAGATGTGCCTCTGTTTATTCTCTGGGAAGATCTTGTGTCCTGCAATCTAGCCCCAAAGACTACAATTCCCATGAGCCCTTGAGGAAACCAGGAAGGAAGTGTTTCTTTGTTTGGGGTCTGGGTCTCTCCATGTGTGTGGAGGGTGGCTCAGCAGTCTGTGGACTCTTCCCTTTGTTTTTGGGAAAAAAAGGAGCCAGGCTGCTATGAAGGAGTTGTATACGGTCCAGGAGCTGTTAGGTTGCAGCTACAGACTTGGATTGAGAGCCTTTGGGACTGGAATCTAGCAGGCTGCTTCCGATTACCCTTCGGCTGTACCTGTGGCTAGAAGCTACTCTGCACCCAGCACACAGAAGGAGACTAGAATCCAGCTGCAAAAATCTTCAAGCGCACCCATGTAAGCACGTGTATAGTACTGATGGATTGAGAGCCTTTGGGACTGGAATCTAGCAGGCTGCTTCCGATTACCCTTCGGCTGTACCTGTGGCTAGAAGCTACTCTGCACCCAGCACACAGAAGGAGACTAGAATCCAGCTGCAAAAATCTTCAAGCGCACCCATGTAAGCACGTGTATAGTACTGAGAGTCCTGAGGAGGGCACACTCTGGAGTGGGATAAATGGTGCCAGTGCAAATGCCAGATAGATAAATTTCCTATTATTTCTGGGTACTTTGTTAATGTTATTCCCTGTTAATCTGTTAAAGCCTGTTTAAGTTGTTAAGTAAAGGTTGGTCATTCTACTGTAATCTGTTAGATGTACGTTATTTAAGATATGTAATTGCTGTTCTGAAGTTAGACCCAGATTATTGCTGGAATAAGTTTATTCCTGGAGGTTCCCAAGGCACACCAGTAAGTGTGTACAGGGCCAGACAGGTGGAGGCACTGCCACTGTATATTCTTGATGAGCAAGGGACTGCAGCAAGGGGATGGATAGGGTTTTCCCCAACTAAACATCATCTGGGGTGCTCAGGATCTCCTTTTATGTTAAGACCATCAGGCATCCAGGCACACCTGTGAGTGTGACCTGCTCCCAAGTAATCCGAGGAGGAAAAAGGGGGTTACATGTCATTCCTCTTTGCAGCTCAGCTGTGCGGTCTTACGCATGTGCACACAGAAACTCCCACATTCTAGGACACGGGAATCAGAGCATGGTGTGAAAAGGGTGATTTTTATTTACAAAAAAAGACACACACTGTGTGTGGCATTGCTTGGTTGCAAGGTTTTACAGAGCAACTTAAAAAAACAAGGATTAGAAATACAGGGAATTGCTTCCCTGGAATTCAGTTTGGAAAGCTACAGTGTAAGGGGGAAGATACATGTGCTCAGCACAGAAAAGTCCAACCAATCCCAAAATAAAGAAAACAACCTAATCACATCTGACTAAACATTCCCTGTTCTACTCACATCACTGTAGTTTCCAGACTTAGTCCTTCCCTAGGCAGAGATATCACTGGATTCTCCCTGACTGGCTCCCTGGCTCCTCACAAGTCCTTCCAGGGGCTCTGCTCAGGCCACATGGCAGGAACAGGAAGGTCACTGCTTCTAATTCAAAAGTCCATACTCTGTTTCCATTGGTTCCCCTGGCCTCGGGTCAAATCACTTCCTGCTTCCCTAGCATTCCTAAAGACTCTCTAGGACCCACTCTCTATCATTTTAACCCTTACAGCTGTGACCATTAAGATTAGGTCTAACGAGTTAACACCAGAGAGAAGACTTTAGCTAACGGAATAGCTGAAATGTTCAGTAAATCCAGGCTTCAGGACATAGTTCAGGGAGGGTGGATACATCTCCTAAACAATTTCCAGAACCAGCTAACCAAAGAATGATACACTCTTAGCTCCGCCACTGATCCTCAGGTTCAGATATGGTAGCAGCCAGACCAGAGTTTACTCCATGCTGACGGATTTCACCTCAAGAGCTAATTCAGGCAGGTGGGGGGCAGTTTCCCCAAAATCGTGAAGGTGCAAACTGTATCAGTGGGTCAAGCATCAAAAAGTGCCACCAATTCCCATACAGAGAAAAACTGAGATGATGTCTGTGTGGGGACAGAGACTGGAAAAGAAGTATCCTTAATAGATAGCAGGTTTCAAATAAATGGAAGGAAGGTTTTCTTCACTCAGTGAACAGCCAACTTGTGGAACTCGTTGCCACAGGATGTTGTGAAGACCAGGACTTTAACAGGGTTAAAAAAAGAGCTAGATAGATTCCTGGAGGTTGGGTCCATCAATAGCTACTAGCCAGGATGGGTAGGAACGGTGTCCCTAGCCTCTGTTTCTCTGGAGGTGGGTGAGAGGGGAGGGATCGCGTGAGGATTTCCTGTTGTATTCCCTCCTTTGAGGGTACTTAGCATTGGCCACTGTGGGCAGACAGGACATGGGGCTAGAAGTACGTTTGGTCTGACCCAGTCTGGCCACTCTTACGTTCTCATGAGTAATATAAGCACCTGCGTGATTGGAGAATGATGAAGAGACCAGAATGGAGGTTCAGCACAGGTACCTCTCACTCTGTACCTCAGGGATTTTGATTTTATCCATGACACCCTTCCCCCAGGATTTTTCCTTGCCAGGGTGGATCCACAGGACTCCAGTCCAAGCTGACGGCCCTGGCCCATCTGGCTCCATGTCTGGTCACTCGGTTCCATCTGGGAGAGTAATTATTGTGCATGAGGTGCGTCCTTCTGGCTGAGCCGTGGCTGGAGCAGAGTTGAGGGTCCCTGGCTGCATCTGTGCTAGGTGATACGGCCCTTTCTGGCCCGCTAGAGGGGAAAAACAAGCAAGAGTGGGCTCATCTGGGGACTGTGCAACCTGAGGCTTGCCCCAGCTTTCCACAGCAACAGTGTTTTTGTGGTGGGGGTTGGCAATGGGGATCATAAATCAGGGTGGCTTCTAACAAGAACAACCCCTATATCCCTCCAAGCCCCACCATGGAGCCCCCGGGATCCCAGGCTAAGCAGGGCCAGGCTGGCGGATACTTGGCTGGGAGAGGGGGACTCAGCAGGGGGCGCTCTCCCCTGCCTCTTACTGCTGACCCAAGTAGGTCTCTAGGGGGCGCTGTGCTCCTGGGAGCATCACTCACCTGGCCTCTTCCACAGGAGCAATCCCAGGGCTCCGACTCCCAGGACAGCGAGGATGCAGCCAGCCACGATCCATGGGACACCAGCCAGGCCTGGAGGCTGGGAATCTGGAAATGTCCCAAAACAGACTGAGCTGTGGGTCCCGCAAAACCCTTTTGCCTTCCGCCTCCCTCGGACCTGTCCCCCCTGCACTACCAGACTGACAACTCTACGCCTGTGCCTCCATCCCCCAGTTGAAGTCTCAGCCACTCAACCCCTGCTGCTAGACGTCCCCTTCTTTGTCTCCCCCTCCCTGTTTGTAGCCCCCCAGATCCCACCTTTCATTTCTCCTCCTCTGTGTTCTCCCCACAACCCCTTCTATGCATCACCCTTCCTATGTGTGAACTGCCCCCAAAAACCCTCCTTCTCACCTCCGACTGTGAGACTCTGCCTGCCCCGTCCCTTTAAGCCTCTCCAAAATGGTCTCTATCTGCCTCTCCCCAGTACTCCTCTTTATCTGCCTGTCCTCTGATGCCCCCCAAAACCATTTCCCTGAGATGCCCCTGTGAGGAAGTGGAGAGTTTTGGAGGTTCAAAGGGGGGAGTTATATGCAGGAGGGGGCGCTCAGTGCCCAGCAGTTAATGGTTGAATGTGACAAAGGAGGGGGGAGTCTGTTGTTTCAGAGAACAGCCCAGAGTTGGAGCCATGGTGTCTGGGACCCTGGTGACCCCGACCCTGATTGGAGGATACAGCCAGTTCTGGACAGATGACAGACAATGGGCTGCAGAGAGGGACCCTGGGAACCAACCCAGCTGACCCCAGCGAGTGGAGAACATTGGGCGGAAGAGAAGAGGGGCCCAGGTGACCCTCTTATCTGGGGAGAAGACAATGGACAGGGGGCAGGCTGTTGCTGGGGGTATTGGAGGCTCTGCTCAGAGCCTGGGGGTGGTTGTTTTTGGGGACTGAGGGCAGAGCACGCAGGGCTCAGCTGGCTGCAGGGGAAAGCTGACGTGGGGCTGAGGACCCAGGGATACTGGCCTGAGAGACCCGTTGCTGTGTTCAAAGCTGAAAAAACCCTTCTGTTTTGTGTTGGCTGATAGTTTCTTTGGTCTAGAGAACAAGGTGGCACTAGACCTCCTGGGGGTGGAGGCCCCAGGTGTCGAGAGAGAGTAGACCCCCAAGGGGCTCACGGTGGAGGCAGGCGGCTGAAGGCCCTGAGGGGCACCGACCTGGAGGTGGAGGGGCAGACCCCCAGGTGAGAGGGGGCCCCCCAAGAGAGGGTCGCCGCACTGGAGTGGACTCCCTGAGAAAGGGCTGTCTCACTGCCACTGGAGGGGAGGGGTCCCCGAGAAGGGGCTGCCACACTGGAGGGGGGGGGTCTGCCCAGGAGCCGAGGGGCCAAGTGTGGGCACGACCTGTGAGCCATGACAGCCCCATTCCCACCTTCTCCCCACTGTTCCCCCTCCCCCACTCCCCAGAACTCACAATTTTTTTAATCGTTTCCGTTTACGTGCGGAATATTTGTATGTGCAATAACAGACACAGAAAACCTACATGCGGGCGCTCTGCTAGTCAGCTGGACAGCATTTGAATTTCTCCTGAGCACTACTTATGGGGAACATTGGTACTCACCCCAAGAGACCCTCAGGGTGGTGTTGCCCAGGCTGCTGTGTCTCACCACGCACACGTGCTCTGGGGGACCAGTCCCCTCCTTCCCCAGCTCGATGGACACCTGGATCTGAAAGGTGGTGTCCCCATTGGGCCGGATGCCTCTGGTCAGCTGCTCCCCCTGGGCCACCTGGCCCCCCCGCTCCCAGGTCACCTCGATGTCACGGGGATAGAATCCCGTCACATGGCAGACGAGGCGGCCTGGCCGGGCCTGGGTCCCTGGGACAAGGGCCACACGGGCTGTGGGCTGGGCTGGGGGGGAGAGAAAGAATCATTAGTCACAGGGACTGGGAGAGCAGGGGCTGCAGGTTGGGACTGAGGGGCACCAGCAGAGCCCTCACCTGTCTTCTCAGTGATGAAAGCCTCAGTGATCTTCATCACGAACCTGCAGTGCTGCTCCGTGTGGACTTTCAACTCCCCAAACGTCTTCGCTTCACGGTTCCAGAGCTCTGCCACGTGCGAGGCGGCCGGGTGCACCGTGAACCAACGGTTCTGTTCGGCATCGTACCACACCACGTCCTCCCCATTGAGGGAGTATCGGGTGACGGCTCGGACGGCATCCGTGTCATCGTCCAGCTCACAGGTCTTCAGGACCTGCATGTAGTAGGGCTCTGCGGGCAGAGGGGCCTAGTGAGCAACGGAGCAGCTGAGTATGAAGCTACCACAAGGGGGCAGAGACAGGCCAAAGTTCTTCCATGTAGTTTCCATGAGTCCTGGCTTCCAGCTCTGTCCCTCAGTCTAACCAGGAAGCATCAGGCAACTCATTAGGGGGGCCAGGAGACGCGAGCCCTTTCTATTTAAAGGCCCCACCCTCTTTCGCACTAGGCCACGCCCCTTCCAGGGCAGCCCACCGCCCCTTGGAAAATTTTTGAAGTGGCCTCCTATGATGTAGTGCTGGTGGCTGTGCTGGGCAGTGGGTTCTGGGTGACCTCCACTGGCGGCTGTTTGTAGCACGGCCCAGCAGGACAGCAGATGAGTCACTAGGCAAGGGGCTCCCAACCTGTCTGACCAGTTGCCTCCCAGGGAGTCAGACAAAGGGAGGGGGGCGGAGACTAACCCCTGGCTGGGGGGCAGGGCTGGAGGAGATTTTTTTAGTTTCTGTCTGGTATCATGGAGGAGGCAGCCTAGGGAAGGGGATGGAATTTAGGGATCCAGTCTCTCCTATCTCTAGGGGGGCTGAAGCATCCTAGGCCGGCCCTGTAACCAGATTACATCTGTGCTGTGCTGTAACCTGGAGAAGCAATAAACTCCCTCTATTCTACTGGCTGGTGGAAGGAATCGGGGGAACCCCGACACGCCGTCACACCCCCTTTCAAAAATTATTGCCCACCCCGATGTAAATTCTTCCCTGGCAATGAGCTGTAAGGTGGAAAGGGCCAGAGGTGGAGCTATGTAAACACAGTTTTCTCCTGTTTGCTTAGATTTGCTAGATACTCAGCAGATAGAGCCATGTTTTGCTCATTGTAATCAATTCCATTTGGGACCCAACACCAGCTACGATTGTATAACATGCAGGGGCAACTAAAATACAGTTGCTGATGTTTGTAATTATTGTGGGACTGTGAACGCGGAACTGTGTTGACTCTGTTACACAGGAAAGGGCTTCGTTAGCAGAAAGACCCTTGCTTATCTGGGTTCCAACTTTCAGACCTCTTGTCCTTGTCCAGACAGACCTTTGCTGTCCAAAACCACATCTGGAAGACCAAACAGCGAGGATGTACGCACCGCAATGAGACTTTTGTCAGGAAAACATGCCTAGTTTTGATGACCAACAAAACCCGCTTCTACTCCTATGAGAGGCTTTTTTTTCTTTCCCCCTCCCTTTATTGTCGGCAAAGAGCCAATGTAAACTTTGCTGTTGGCTTTGTTGACAAAATTGACTTCCGCCAGTATTCCAGGCTACGTCTACACTACGAGTTTTCTTGGCAAAACATATGCTAATGAGGGATGCATTAGTCACGATCTCATTTGCATATTTTCTGCCCATCCGTTTTTGCACTGGGGTTTTTGCAGAAAAACAAGCCGTGTGGACATTTTCTTTTGGCGCAAAAACCCCTTTTTCCGCAAGATTGGTAAGCCTCCTTTTTTGGGGCATAGGGATCTTGCGGGAAAAGGGGATTTTGCACAAAAAGAAAACATCCACACGGCTTGTTTTTCTGCAAGAACCCCAGTGCAAAAACGGAAGGGCAGAAAATATGCAAATGAGATCATGACTCATGCAAATGAGGCCCTCATTAGCAGGGCTTGACAAATCGCTGTTTCTACTCGCCCGTGGTGAGTAGATTTCAGCCGGTCTCTCCATTCGCCCCGTTCACCGGCGCTGTGCCGCGGTTTGTCGAGCCCTGCTCATTAGACTAGTTTTTGCCGAGAAAACGGGTAGTGTAGACTTAGCCAAAGTATATTACAATTAGCTGGCATCTCTTGTTTAGTTTGGCTCCTTTACGTACTTGGATCTGTCTTCACTTGCCTTTGCTGGGGGAAACCATTATTCCCCTCCTTTTATTAAAAGTTTCTTTTCAGGACTCAAACTCTGTTGCCTCTCAGAGGTACGCAAGGGTGGGATGTGAATTTCCCATATTACTGGGTGGGGGCTGGAGCCAGTTTTGTGTTGGATGGGTGGGAGGACCCCTTAGATACCCGGCTGTGGTCGCTGCTGACTCCTTGTGACAGAAGGGTTACATCCCTCTGCTGTCCCCATCCCCTTCTGAAGCCAAGCTTAATTGCTGGGCTCAGGGACTCACCTGCCCTTGGGGAGCTGGTGTTCATCTTCTGCACCAGGCCCTCATACTCGGTTTCCACCCAGGAGTTCCAGGCCATGTACCTCGCTGAGCTCTCACTCCAGAACTGACGGGCCGTGCGGTAGCCATTACGAGACACCAACTTGCCGATGTCACTGTCATAGACTGCAAGCAACAGGTCGTTCACGATCATTGCATTCAGCCGCTTGGGCAGGCCATGGTCTGCATAAGGGGAGATGACCTGGAAGCAAGAGAGACGGCGAACTCCTGCAGGAAGGAGAGAGACAGCAATGAGAACAGGACCGAGGCATCTGGGACAAAAACCTTCTCCCTCAGCTCTGGAGGAGAGAAACGTGGATGGGGGATTCGACTCAGGGAGGGCAGGGGTCACTTACCAGCTAAGGAAACAGAGCAGAGAGACAGGAACCAGAAGGAGACCCAGGTGGGTTTCTCCCAAGAAGCCATCACTCTGCAGGGGACAGAGAAACAGCTCTACTAGGTGAGGTTGGGCACCAAGACCCAGTAAGCTGCAGAGTCCCTGGTCACCATTCTCTGCGTAGAGCTCTCTGCTGCTCTGACAGGAAACACAGGAGGGGAAACCCAGACACACGCTGAGCAAATAGGAAGCAACACAACCCAACCCTGCTTACCCCGCCTTGCTGTCTACTTTACGAGAAGCCTGGTTCCTCACTCATACAATTAACTCTTTCCAACTCCAGCGGCCGTCTCCAAATTGCAACGTGTGTTTATTTTCTGTGGAGGTTTCTGTGAGTGCCACAGGATAGTCGGCAACCGCACCAACCCGCAGCTGTGAGCATCGGCCGGGACAAGGGGTGGGTGAATGTAAATGGCTGGAAAAAGTCTTGGCAAGTGCTCTTAAGGCCACTGGAGCTTTTCCAGCTGCTCAGGGCATCTGTCCCAGCAGCTCCTGAGAGGACCAGCAGGCCGGTGTCACAAGGGACAGCTCTTAGTTCAATGGGAAATGGCCCGGCCCGCACTCAATCAGCATGGGACACCACCAGTCCAATGTTCCCATTGGGCTCGCACCACTCCCCTCCCAATCCTGGACCTTCAGTGCAGATGGGACCACAGAGCAAGAAACACCCCTAGGGAATGTAGATGAAGCCTGCTGAGTTGTTATTCTTGATAACTAGGGGTATGTCTACACTAGCCCCCTAGTTCGAACTAGGGGGCTAGTGTAGACATACCCTAGAAGATTTACCTGGTGTTGTCCAGCATTGCCCAGGACTGGGATTAGTCTCCCCCCGCCCCCGTGGTCAATCCTGTGTAGAACTGTCCCTTCTATCACACCCCTCCCTTGTCCTCTACAGTAAACCAATCCCATTCCAGGCACATCCCATTGTCCTGGCACAACCTGTGAGGAAGTGGGGAGTTTTGGAAAGACAATGGACTGGGGAGAGGCTGTGGCTGGGGATATTGGAGGCTCTTCTGGGAGACTGGGGGACTGTTTGGGGCAGAAGGCAGAGCAGGCAGGACTCAGCCGGCAGCAGGGGAGACTGACGTGTGGGGACAGGGCCAAGGCCGATTGGCCTGTGAGATCCATTGCGGTGTTTAAAGCTCAATAGACCCTCCTGTTTGGTGTTGGCTGAGTGTCGCTCTGGGCTGGAGAATAGGGCTGCACTATTCCTTCTGGGCTCACGGTGGAGGCAGGTGGCTGAAGGCCCAGAGAGGCACCATCTCGGAGGTGGAGACCCCGCAGGTGAGAATGGGCCCCCCAAGAGAGGGTCGCTGCACAGGAGTGGACTCCCTGAGAAAGGGCTGTCTTACTGGAGAGGGGGATCCTACCCAGGAACCAAGGGGCCAAGTTTGAGCACGAACTGTGAGCCGTGACACAACCTAACCTTGATCTTGCTTCAGGTTACCGTAAGAGGAAGCTGCATCCCAAACGTCATGGCTCGGGTGCTTACTGTTTAGGAGAAGTTCTTCAACAAACAGACTCACAGACAAACGGGCGGACACACAGGCAGAGAGACAGACACACAACCTCTCTAAAATGTATAGTAACTAATGATAATACCATAGGGAGGGGGTGCTAATAACCAATCCCTTATTTTTTGAAATATCACCATGGCTGCCTTCACTCCTTACAAGAGAATTTCCTCCCCTGTTTATAAAAACCTGGGATATTTCATGTTAAAACCAAAACTGTTTTATATTATATATTGTGAAGGTGACTTGGGGGTGGGGTCATGCCACAGCAGAGCAACCGGAGGAGCAAAACTCGAACTCCTAGGCTATGTCTAGACTGCAGGCTTCTTTCGAAAGAGCAATCCGCTTTTTCGAAAGAGAGCACCCAGC